GTTCTGATGATCGGTGAATGTGTATGCGAGATGACTGACGAAAGTGTCTTGTAAGACCGATCGATAATCTGTGTAAGCGATCAAAGGTTGAAATTTTAATTTTCGTCGTCAATTCACAACTCATTGTTCTTGATTGATTCAAACCGTAATCCCAAAATATCTCATTCTAGACGTCCTCTTCTTTTTTCTAGATACATACAATTCGTATGCCAATGCCTGCAAGGCTGGTGGAAATGGAGATGGAATTTACCTTTTCCTGGCTGCGAGATTGGACACCGTAAGTACACAATTGAGCACGTATTAAAGTTGACTTCTAAATAGTCCGGTATGAATATGAAAGGTTGCATAAACGGGTGACAAACAAAAGTGAGTCCAGATTCGGTAGCCGGTTCACTAAGAAGCGGAATTGCATTAGAAACGACAGAGATTATATCGCCCGGAGATGCGTAGTGTGCGGGCCCTGGCGTCTTGATGAGCGTAAAAAATTAAATATGAGACAATTGGATTAGAAGATTTGCTAGCTAATGCATTTTCCGAAAACGTAATATTGTACAGTATATTCCAAGAATCATTGATCAATACCTTCACCCCATTCACAGACACCTTCCCATGTAAAACCATCTGTCTGGCCTGCCAAATACTTGTTGCTAGACACGCTCTGAATACAATGGTATCCAGTCTCCTTCCTAGACTAGCATATGCCAGTGCAACGGCAGAGGATGCTTTTTGTCTTTTTCCTGGCCGGCTACTCTTGTATTACTCGTTGGTATAAATAATCTAAGAAATTGTCTTTCGTTAATTTGCCCTCCATGATATGCGCGTGTTTCTCGTTTCGCGGTCCATTTCTGTTGATAAAATGTACGATTCCCTAGGCGAGGCCACGCGTGGTTATCGTATACAGATTATATTTGACCATGACGTACGGATCAGTTGACGAGCGAACGTATCTTTCGTTATTATTAAATGCATTTAGCCTAACACCGAATAAATTGTTTTGTTGTGTAACATCTAGCTAAATAAATTCTTGGGTAACGCATTAGAGTATGCAAATCTGTCACACGGGTATTATTATTTATCTATAATTCCTTTTTATGGTATAATCTGCATATTTACAACTGCAGACTCGGCCTATACTTTCACATTAGCTGAAATAGTTGACGATCGATTTTTAGTCATTCTGTAATATCTCGAGGTTAAAACTGATCCGAGTAGGTCTACTTGGCTAACCAATTCCTGTTTCTAGTTATGGCAGACATTCTACTTTTGTACGTAGACTTGCGATTACATTCATGCGTCTTCACTTATTGATATTGCCTACCTTATGCCAATTTTAACATAGAACATTGTCTATCATTTGGTCAAGCGTCTTTATCAGTCAGTTGTCGTTAAACAGGTATTTCGTAAACGTGTCACTCATTGGTTATGATTTAGTGACTCA